ATTAGTTTTAAAAAACCAAGCCAATATTTAAATATAATTGGATAATTATCAAAAGATTTATAATTATAAATGGCGTTGAATATTAATTAATTCGACTTATTCACTTTGCAAATATTATATTACCAATTAAACGTAAATAATTATTTGTGTTTGACGTGAATGGAATACGAGATATACCATCAGCATTAATCATGAAAGAAAAATAATAATCATTTATTTCAATTAATTGGCATAAATTAAAACTATGTGCCATAAAATCTTAGATATTTCGGATATTTTATGTTATATTTTATGTACATTTTATGTATTTTATATCCTATTACTATTTTTTAAAGTTGTGAAAACTGCTGAGAACACCTTAAGATTAGAAATCTAATAGTAATAAATAATTCTGTACAACGTTTTTCTCTTGTAATTGTCCGGCAAAATTATAATAGGAACCTTTCTGATAATTAAATTGATTTTTATGATTTCTATCATAAAGTATATATTTTTGTAATATAAATTTTGCTTCTTTCGCTAAGATATTTTCCTACGAATAATTTGTGTAATTAGTTTTAATAAAAATATTGTTCGAAAATAACCATTAATAATTTTATGTAATCATTGCCTAAATGTTTACTTGTTTTTGACTAATCGATAAAAACCCAAATCGATTACTTTAATTACAAATTAATGATGAAGCTAAAAAAAAAACTGGAAATCATAATTTAACTTTATTAGAAATTTGTGGTTTTTTATTCTATCCGAAATAAGCGAACTTCCTACTACCATGACACAAGAATAATCAGTACGGCGCATTTTATCCATAATATAAAATTGATCGTATCAAATAATTATTTGTAAACATTACGTGATATTATATATAAATTCGAGTGTTTTTTTTTCAATAGAAACACATGCAAATCGACTAATATATATTATTTTTATTAGCTGTGTAAGAGTTATAATACTAATTAGTTTTTAATTTTTTGCAACAAGGGCAAAACTTATTATCTTAATCTCTAAAAATTCAATATAAATAAAATTCTCTAAAAATATGTATGTTTTAATAGAATCATTGTTAAAAGTCATATTTATATATTTAGTTTATTTTACACCTATTTGCCTACATATATTCAATTTTTAAAGCATTTTTTATAAGACTCTTAATTATTTTTGTACCTATTTACTTAGTATCTGTATAGTTCCCATTAATAATATAATAGTTGAAATTTTTAGTGATTATTTTCACATTAAGAAATTTAATTATTCCCAATTTTCACTGAAGTCAATATAAATTTAAGTATTAATATTATGACGGTATATTTCGTGCATATTTTTACCAATTGAAGAGACCTCATAAAAAAGTATATCCATTAAATGAAAATGTTTTAAAAAATAATAACCAATATTTATTATTGTTTATAAAGTAAAACGAAAAAATATTTTAATTATTTATATTAACTTCCCGTTATAGTAATGGGCCAAAAATTGGAAATGAAAATGTTTGCATATCTTCACGTTTCAGGATTTCTGAGCATTTTGGTATACCTCAGAAAAAATGGATATGTGTATGTGTGCGTGCGTGTGTATGTATAGATGAACCGATTTGGAAAAATCGATTCCTATTGATAGGGAGATGTGCTGATTAGCTTTTGGCAAAGGCAGGTCCAGCCGTTACGGAGATAAAGAGCCTAGAGTTCAGAAAATAGAAACCGAGTTTTTGAGAGAACGGAGTATTCGATTTGAATGATTCAAAAACATTCAAGTTGTAATGATTGGGAGAAATTGTGTTTAGTTTTTGGCAAAAGCTGATCCAGCCGTTTTGGAGATACCGAGCTAATTGTGCAAAAAATGGCAGTTTTTGAAAGAACTAAGCATTGGAGATGAATGATTCAAGAAACTTTCTGCTTGTTTTGACAAAATAATTGCTCTTGGAAAAAAAATTATATATTTTTTTTATTTTTTTAAAAAACATTTTGTTTGTATATCGAAAATAATTCAGATTTTAGTTTTAATTCTGGCTAAGGTTCTGAAGCTTGCTTAAATACTTTAAATAAATAATATTAACTTGGTAATTTAGTTTAAATAATTCTTATAAATATTAGAAAATATATATAATTTATTTGGAAACATTTAATATTCCTCGAACATTTCATTACGGTAAGGAAAGTTCCATACATCACTAGTTTAATATTTGTTTGAACAAAATTTTAAAATAACTAAGATAGCCTAATGAATTCACTAAAATTAAGTATTTAAAGAATTGTTTTAATTTACTATGCATTTTATATAAAATAACCGATATTAAGTATTATTGAAAGAAACATTGAATAAATTTATCATTTGTTTTATGTGTTATCATTAGTTACTATTATAAGTTTTCAATTTGTTATGGATTTTATTGTGTTTTGTAATTTTTGTAATTATGTATTTATGTATGTAATGTACTATTCTATGAATCTGTTTTACACAATTATAATTATCTTTTAATTTGACTATCATTTTAACTATATGTAATTTATTGTAGTTCCAAGAAAAAATAATTATAAGACATACGTTCTGTAAATCTGTGATGTAAATAGCAAGTAAAAAAGCGTAGCAGTTATATTTGATCGTTAATAATAACATTAACCCTTTCTACTCGTAAATTCCGGAATTTGTATGTATTTTGCCGACGAAGCGGCGGCATCCGAGTCGAAAGGGTTAAAAATCTAGGTAATATTTATTAATAAAAAAAATTTGACATTATTTATATAGGGATATTCGTAATACTGTGGTGATAGTCCGGATTTACAATCACAAAGACTCGGTTTCAAATAAAGACAACTTGATATCAAGCAGAAACGCTTTCCATTTTCAATTGATATAAACGATTAAAATATGTTTTTACGCAAAAATAATTCTTCTCAACATTGCTGCAATACTTATCGTATCATGATTACAAAAGACAACCGTTGGGTTGTCTTCTAAAAGTCCACATAATTGAAGGAATAGCGATACAAATTATAAAATATTTTTATACTCAATAATTTATCAATAAATATAAATTTTGTTTGATTATTGCAAATACATTAAAAAATAAAAATATATAAATGTTGTGCTTTCTTAGCACAGTTCTCAAAATTGATTTGGCCAAAAAGAGTGGCACAACTCACCCACCCCCCTTTATGGATTTTCGGCATCGCGTGTTTACATCAAATTAGTTCAATGGGACAATCATGTGGCTAAATAGTTTGTGGAGACTTTTGTCAATACATGTGACATCATTTATATCTGATAAATATGTGTAATAAGCAAACACACTATTTCAATCTATCGACATGTGAAAACTCTTGAAATCGATTCGAAATCGAAATGAATTTTTTATTTTCTTTATTTTTCCTATTTGTTTTGCAAAGGTAAATATGAAACTTGTTATGATACATAGTTTTAGATGAAAGGTTTAAAAATAAAATTACAAACAATATTCATAAATATTAATTCAGTGGAACAAATACTTCGAGTATATTAATTCGTAATAACTAGATTGGACAACTACTGGGTTTCCAATCCAAAATTCAATATTTTCATAAATTACCTAAATTCAACACTGTATTATTTTAATATACAACATAACCACAGGCTTCTCACTCCAGAAAGTAATATCTGCACTGTTAACTTCCCGTTAATGTAATGGGCCGAAAACAGAAATTGAAAATTTTTACATTTCTCGACGTTTTTTTATTTTTTAATAAAAAGATAAACATAGATATTTTAATAAAAAAAATAGATAAAAATTTAGTAAAGTATTCTGCTTGTCTTAAGAAAATAATTGCTTTTGGAAAAAAAATTGCCTCAACTTTTTTTTTTTTGAAAAAAATCTTTTTTTATATCGAAAATAATTCAGATTTTATTTTTAATTCTGACTATAGTTCTAATATACTTTAAACAAATAATTTCAACTCTGCAATTCAGTTTATATAATTCTTATAAATATTAGACAATGTTACAATATTTATAACAATCTATTTGAAAACATTCAATATTCCTCGAACATTTCGTTACGGTACGGGAAGTACGGTTCCAGCAATTTGCCTTAAGGCACGATGCCGTACACCCAACTATTTTTTTAAATTTATTTAAATAAGATCATACTAAAAAATAATGCGGCCCTACGACAACTCGTTTAACTTCAAAAATTCGTCAAAGTTTGCAAAAATTGGTATCGTTTTTTTGGCATTTGTCAAAATTAGACCTTTGATGTTTTTTCAAAAATGCCCGAACCGATTTCAGAAATTTGATGTATCTCAATGAGGATACTGCCGAATTGATTTTAAAAAATCAAAAACTGATTGAAAGAAATTAGTTGGGAATGATACTGATTAGTTTTAGGTGAAAATCTACCGAGCCGTTTTCTTGTAATTAACTGTCGAAAAAAAAATTCAAGCCGATTTTTATGGAACTTCTTCTGGCGATATATATCATGGTCTTATAGAACTTACTGAAATATTACGGCCTTATGACAAATAGTTTAATTTTAAAAATTAATGAAAGTTTGAAAAAATGAGTAGTTTTTTGACGTTTGTTAAAATTAAAATTAGACGATTTACTTGATAAAACGATACAGTACTTGGTCTTAATGAACATACTAAATCATTAAAGCCCTACGAAAACTGGTTCAATTATAAACATTGTTGATTTTTGAAAATTTGCTTTTAGAAAATACTCGTTCGTTTGCAATTATGTGTAAAAAATCCACTCGAAATACTTTTAATCACTCATAGATGAATTTATTTTTTATTGATTAAATCGATTATTTACACATGTCGACAAGTTCATGTAACTTGCCTCAAGGCAAAACAGCAATACCAACTAGTTAATTAAAATTTTCAAAATGCAAAATCTACCTATAAATATTTTTTTCGGAACAAAAAATATAATACATCGCTATTATAGACAAGTACATATAGATATTTATATTATTACTAATATAAATATTTTTATTATATTATATTATAAAAAATATTATTACTAACCTGTTGGTACTCATTTTTGCATCCCTTAAAAAACTTCTCTGAAGTTAAATGTCAAATCCACTGAAAATTCTGTTCATCTAGTATTTTCTGACAGCAACCATTTTAGTGCACTCGACATAATTTCAATTAAAAATTTAAACATTTTAAAATTTGAATTAAAAACTGCATACACTTGTTCACATATAATATTTTTAAATTTTCACCAACTATTTCTTATCAAGCGTAGATAACAGTAGATAAAAAATTGTTATGTACGTATAAAATCGTTAATATTTAGTGTCACATTTTGAATTTCTTTTCACTAGAACATCTGTTATAATAGAACATGACAGTAGTACTGTTTATTTTCTGTAACTTCGTAAATATTTATCATATTTTGTTCGTTTTGAACAGAGAAGAAAATGTAGTCTGTGCGTTCGTTGCTTTGGTTACTAACTAACCGACTTCATGCTATGAAATGATATTGATCGTGACTCGGCGCAAGTGTTGGTTTCGAATTTTGCATGTGTTAGGTTGGTAGATGGAGCGATAGAAGATATAAGGTCGAAATGGATGTGTGTATTGTGCATGGAAAATCGGTATAAACATAAAACAAAATGTTACGTACTTATTTTTCTTGCTTATATGCCAAATAGTTCATATATTATATAAAATGACTCTTTGCATTCGGACCGAAAAATCTTATCCTCCAGAATGTCTTGTGTATGTTTGTATGGAGTCCGGAAAAAGATTTTCCGGGAAAATCAGGTCGCAATGCAATCTTAATTTATGTATAAAGAAAATATATCACTGATTATGACTTAGCATTTCACTTGAAAACTTATGGAAAGTTAATGTAAAAAAGTTTTTTTACATTTTCTTTTTTACTTTATTTTATAGCCTCCACCCCCAAAGAATTTATTTATATATTGTTATTGATATATGAACATAAAACAAAATGTTACGTAGATACTTATTTTTCTTGCTTATATGCCAAATAGTTCATATATTATATTGGATGACTCTTTGCATTCGGACCGAAAAATCTTATCCTCCAGAATGCCTTGTGTTTGTTTGCATGGAGTCCGGAAAAAGATTTTCCGGGAAAATCAGGTCGCAATGCAATCTTAATTTATGTATAAATTCTTTATGGGCGTCCTATAATAGAACTGTATTTATTCCTAAAGATAATTATAATATATATATATATATATATATATATATATATATATTCACAGGGCCGGATTTAGAAATTTGGCGCCCCGGGGCACTGACAAAAATGCCGCCCCATCCCTGAAATTTTACGAACTTTCGAACTTTTTTTAAAGCAATCTCGCTGCTTCAGCTGCGTAGGGACAAAATATAGAAGCGCGTAAACGCCGCGTCGCAGTCTAACGGACGTTACAGAACGCATATAAATGTAAACAAAATTTATACTTATTAACATATTTTTAAAATATGTGATAATTTGATGTGCATATGTTTTGTGATCACTTTTGTCCACCAAATGTTTCTTTTACAATTTTTTTTATTGGATTATCGAAACCGCTAAACCTGCCTCCCACAAATTTAAGCAGTTATTTATTCTGTAAATTTTTTTGAATGATATTGGACGCTTCTTTTCTCAAAAACTGAATTATCATTTTTGGCATTTTTTGGCATTTTTTGACATTTCTTCAAAACAGTTGGACCTGCCTTGGCCAATAACTAATCAGCACGTCTCCTTATAAATAGGAATTGAATCATTTAAATCGGTTGATCCGTGTTCCCGAAATCGACTTAAATAATTAAAAAATATTAGATTTGTATTGATGGGGAGACGTGCTAATTAGTTTTTGGCAAAGGCAATTACGAAAAATGGTAATTGAGTTTCGATATTTCATCTCTGAAACAGCTGCGCAGCGCGATTGCTTTGCAAAAAGTTGAAAAGCTTTTTATAAAATGTAATTTTTAGTACGGGATGTTTCAATAATTTGTCTTAAGGCACAATGCCATGAGTCATTAGTTTAAATTTTTTTTCGACGCTATAAGCTTGAATGTGCACAAATTCGCCATTTTAAGAGGGCTCGAGAACTGAAGTAAATATTTTTCTTAAACTTTCAGCTTGTTTACGGATCTTCATATTAGCCAAATTGCCAAATTTAATAACCAATTTGATAATTTACGTTCGGAGAGGGAGGCAAGGCAAAATAATAAATTTTAATAATTGGTTATTTCAACCCAAATTTTGCATTGCAATCGTATTATGTTTTGTTAATTATATTTCTTGAAATATAAAAATGTTGGCAAAAAAATTTGATTATATTGTATAGAATTTTTTTCTCACTATCCAAATTTTGCCGCCCCCAAAAATTTGCCGCCCTGGGCAGTAGCCCCGATTGCCCCTACTGTAAATCCAGCACTGTATATTCATATATATATATACTATCTGAACCGACAGACGTTGTCCTGTAGAAATTCCAAGTATTTTAATACACTTTTTAGTTTGACAATACATTTTTATTACTCAAAATTCAACATAAATCAGCATTTAAATTAACTAATTAAATAGTAACTAGTAGTTTATGGCATCATGCCTTAAGGCAACTTGCTAGAACTTCCCGTACTAATAATTAAATTCTTTTTTTTAACTTTGAAAAAATTAGATTTTGGAGAAATTTAAAATTTTTGAAACTGATTGACTTTTTAAAAAAAAAGACTTTGAATAAAGATTTTTTTATATTCTGAAATAATTTGGAAATTTTAAACTTTTTTTCAAAGCTAAATATTGAAAATATCGAAGCGCGTAAGCGCCGCAACGCTAACGAACAAACGATATTACGGAACCCATAGAAATGAAAACAAAATTATACTTATTATTGAAATCTCTATAAATTATCTGATAATTTGATGTACATATGTTTAATGATCATTTTTGACCACCAAATGGCATTTTTTTTTACTTTTTTCAATAAATCTCTGAAACCGCTAGACCTGCCTTTCCAAAAATTTAATCAGTTCTTCATCTTGTCAATACAAGAAAATGGTTTTGGAATTTACAAAGTCGGACGCACTGTTTTTTTTATAAATTGTGTTACTGTTTTTTGGTTCTCTTTGCCCCGTATGTTCGAAACAGCTGGACCTGCCTTGGACAAAAACCAATCAGCACGTCTCCCTATCAATAAGAATCATTTCAATGTTTTTTGAATGATTTAAATCGGTTGAACCGTGTTCTCGAAATCGTCGACGAAAATTTATATCCGAAAACAGATACACACACACATACATCCATTTTTTCCAAGGTATGCCAAAATGTTCAGAAACATCTAAAACGCAAAGATATGTAAAAAATGTCATTTTCGATTTTTTTGCGATTATTATATCCTACGGGTAATGATAACAAAATAAATAACAAAAAATAATTATAAATAACTTGTGTAGAATGGTGTAGACGATCATTTTTTATAAATTAAAATTTTTAATATATATATATATATATATATATATATATATTTATTTGCCCTAACCTATGGGCGGGGCACAAAGATCCAATTTGACTTTGAGTAATTAAATCGTAAAAACCAAATCAACTAAATCACAACAAATTAAACATATCAAATAAACAATTATTGCACCATGTTCAGTAAAACTCCCAACTGATTCATGATTCTAGAAGTGTTTTTTTTTTGCTATTTTTTTTTCAAAAAATTGTAATCTGGTCTTTTTTAGCCCCATATTCGAAACGGGACAGCCAGGGGGCGAACAGATACAACGTCTTATTTTTAATTCTAAAGGGCTTTTACGAAATAATAGCTACAATATTCAATCAATGCAAAATATAAATTTCATAGGTACATTTTTACAGAGATAATACTTTATATAACCTTGATCTGGTATTTTGTCAGAAATATTTATCAGCAGAGTTGGAATAACTATTCATTCAACTATTTCTTAAATTGCTTTTTTTGAAGTAAATTTTCATTTTAATATAATAGAAAAATTGTTTTAATTGTTGGAAAATATAAAAATTCTTATAATAGTACCTAATCATTATTCAGTTAAAATTGAGTTTAAAATGCAATTTATTTTGGAAATGCATAGCCAACTCGCCAAAAAAATGTACTATCTTTAAGATCTTTCTGATTCTGAACTCTAAGAATAAATCTATCTGATTATCAACTCAGCGAATGACACTTAAATGCAAAACTATACCCACTCATATAATAATATAAATCTCGTAGTGATCCATTAAATAATATATTCTATAAGCTTACTCTATCAGGTTCAAATCCATATTATAAATAATCTTGTATGTTTAATGAAAATGAAAGCCAAAGATCAGATAAATTACTGTAAAATAATACCAGTAAAATCCGAAAAAGTGATTGTTCAGAAAATTTATTTTGAAATATTTTACTTTCATTTTCTTTTTAAGTTATGTTATGTGCGTTATGACCAATATCTTAATATGCAATTAGCTTTTGCAGGAGCTAAATTTAAGTGCCGTGGTAAGTTTAAAATTTTTGCATTATATTTAGGTTACAAATAAAAAAACAACATATCATGTAATAAAGAATTAACATAAACGTTCCTGCATCGTCAACCTCGGTTACAATTTTTGTTAGCGGTTCAACCTATTATTAATCTAACGGTTAATGCTGTATTCCACTTTTGTCAAAAATTGCGGTTAATTTCAACCGCGGTAAAAGTTACAATTGCATGATAATTACTTTTTACTAGTTTTCTGACAAAAATACTTGTAAAAATATATGCATAGAATGTAATTATTATATTCTATTTTATTGTATTACTTGCATCCTGGCTCACTTATTTGTGTAAATGATGTAATTAGGTAATCACTAATTAATGGAAATGCAGTTTATATAATTACTGTGACTGCTATGGTGATTGCGATTACATCAATATAATATTTTCACAGAAATAATAATTAATGAATTTAATTTTAATTTAGAACTAGAATTATTTTCAGAATTAAATGGTATAGAATAACATTAGAGATATTGCAGTAACATTCTAGTTATGGTATAGAATAATCTACTAAAAATGTAAGGTAGAGGTATCTAAAGACTTCTTAGCACTCTTTAATTTTTGATAATTTTGCTGTTTTCCTCATTCCTGAAACCTTTTCAATAGTATTTCATTGTTTACTTATGGTATCACTATTTAAGAAGACCTAACAATTTATGTTAGGTCT